CGGATTCTAGACCCACCTGGGCAGTGAGACCTCATCTCTACAATATATCAAAAAATCAGCCGGGTGCGGTAGCACATGCCTGTAATTCCGGCTACTCGGAAGGCTGAGGCGGAAGGATCGCCGGAGCCCAGCAGGTCGAGGCTGCAGTGGCCGGAAGCGGCCACTGCACTCCAGTCTGGGCGACAGAGTGAGACTCCAACTCAAAAAAAAAAATCTAATTTTAGTGCTAATGTAAAAATCTGAAGCAAATAAACCAAAAAGTGACCTGCAGATGATGGTCATCAGATCCCACTCCCCCAGATGGAAGGGAGGGCCAGGGGCAAGGTGAGGAGAGAGTGGGGTCTCTGGACGCTCACCTGTGTACTGCTGCTGGAGTCGCTGTGCAGGCGGATGTTCTGGTGGCCCGAACTGCAGCTCTGGGAGGACTGAGAGAAGGAGGAGCAGGGGGGCGAAAGGGTGAGACTGCATCCTGGCCCGGCATGGAAGGGACTGCCAGGTTGTGAGCCAGGAAGTCTGGTTTCATCTGTTCCTGACTTGTACAAATCCTCTCTTGAGGCCTTAGCATCTAGCTGTAAAATGAAAGGGGGCTACTCCCTGCTCCTCAAAGCCTCCTCAGAGACCGCTTTGGCCTCTGGGCCCCACCTCCCACCTCTGCACCCCACCTTTAACTACTCTGTACTGGAGACTCCTGTCTAATATTTTAGTTCAGGTCAAAGTAACAGGTTGTATTAATAGTTCGATTTTTTAACCTGCTTCCTGTATATGGGCCTTTTGTCCATAACCTCATAGTCCCTGTCTACTCTGCTGTATTCTTGGCCATCAGCTTGCTTCGGTCAATGGGATGATCCAGCAGAAGCTTAAAACACATGTGAGCGTTTCTGCTTTCTCTCTTTAGCATCTGCTTTCACCATGAGAACATGCCTAGGTTAGCTTGCTGGGTGATGAGACATGTGGAGCACAGCCAAGTCACCCCAGGGTGGAGAGAGAGCCCAATTCAGATCACCTTCTAGCTGATCAGTAACTGACAGCAAGCACCAGAGTGAGGCCCCACGGAGCCTGGCTCAGAGTAGAACCGCCCACCTGACTCACAGACTTGTGAGGAAAAGTAAATGTTAATTGTTGGAAGTCATTGACTATTGGCAGTTGTTTGTTATGCAGTGTTATTGTGGCAGTTGATGACTGATACATTGCTGGTGGAGAGAACTAATTTGTATCTGAGCACCTGCTTTGAGCTGTTGACTGGAGGTTCTGGGAGGCAGACATAGGTGCCTTGGTCACTGGAACATTCCTGCTGTTCCAGAATATTCCTGACAGTACCAGGCATGTAGTAGTAGGTACTCAATAAGCATTTATTCAATGAAAATCAGGCACTGTGCTAGACACTTTATATACCTTATCCTGTTGGAGCTGCACACAAATCTCCTCTATACACCTGATTATTCTCATCTTACAGATGCAGAAACTGAGGCCCAAAAGAAAAGGTCCTTGTAGGGAGACCCCAGAGCTAGAAAATGGTGGGACTGGAGTTTGAACCCAGGTCTGATTCCAAAATCACTCCCCACCACCAAAAAACAAAGCCAGGGTGAGAGTGTCCCAAAGCCCCAGACACCCAGCCTCCACCACACTTAGAACAGCCTGGCAGAGCAGGTCCTGGCCCTCGCCACCCCCCTTGTTCCCTGAGGCCAGATGCCCATCACCTCATTGCTGATGGTGGAGTCCCTGTGCATCATCCGGTGCAGGTGGCTGTCCAGGCTGGCCCCCGAGGAGCATTTGGCCAGGGCTGCCGCATGGGACTCCCGCTCCCTCTGCCGCACGATCGCCTCGCAGCCCAGCCATTCGGCCATGGTCTGTGCATAGCAGGCATGAATCTGCTCATCCACCTGCCAGGGCAGATTCAAGGTCACCCAAGATGCTGGGGCCCCTGGGGAAAGCCAGCCCAACCTGGAAGAGAATAGCTCTGACCCATTCAACATTCACACAGTTAACATCCAACAGAAATTAACTGACCACCTACTGCATGGCACCTAGCATTGGCTAGGCCTGGAAGACACACAAAAGGAAAAAGGCAACTTCTTCATTTCAAGATTTCTCTCCCTTCCTCCCTCCCTTCCATTTCTCTTCTTCCCTTCCCTCTCTCATTCATTTAATTCTATAAGTACCTACTGTGTGCCAGGCACCAAGCTAGGCATATGGAATATAAGATGAGCAAGATGCTGACATTCATCCATCTATCCACTGACTCACAGCATGCACTGAGGGCCTCCCACATGCCCAACATGGGCTACAGATGTGTAGGATATGCAGATTGATAAAACCAATCCATGTCCTTTCCTTACAGCAATTGCCTCACAGAAGGGCCACAGATTTCAAGCTCTTTCCTTGTGGGATTTCAGCAAAAAGTTGGGGAGTTTTCACTGTTCCTGGGTTACACAGCCCGGATAACTGAGGTTCTGCACCTGCCAGACCTCTGAGCACCAGTGGGGCAGACAAGTTGTTATAAAGTGTGGAGAGGCAGGATGTGGAAAGAGAGGGTGGGGAGCTCTGCCCTCTCCTGTGGCTACTCAGGGACTCCAGAGAGGAGCTCTGGGCTCACTATGCTGAAGGGGCTGGCTGGAGCAGCTCCCTCTCACTGACTTCCCTAAGATTCCTCTACGCCCTGCTCTCCTCCCAATTCCCACTGTCATCCTAGGCCAGGGTTCTGCCACCCCTCACCGGGATGCATGGTCCCAGCAGCCCCATCCTGCTTATCCTTCCTATCTATCTACCACTCGGCAGCCATGATCCCAGATTCCTCTCCAGCCTCACCTCTCACTGGGGCCTTCACCCCTCAAGCTTTTATGTCCCAGCAACATACGTTTACCATGCTCCTCCCCACATAGACACACACATGCCACAACATGCTGGCTCCCCTCTAGGCCTCTGCTCTTGCTGCCCCCTCTTCCTTGAAGCCCTTCCTCACCCTCTTGGCCTGGAACTTCTTCAAAGAATTTGGGTGTAACCAGCTTCTCCAGAAGCTTCTTTGACCAGCCTCCCTTCCTGCCTGGCTTAGGTGCCTCTTACAGGTTTTTGCAGCCCTCAGGATTGCCTCAGTCCTACCACTGACAGCCAACTTCCCCACAAAACCAGCAAGGACTTCACCTCTGAGTCTCTGGTGCTGAGCACAGAGCCCAGCATACCAGAATCCTCAGTTACTATTTGCCCAGGGACACACTAGGCACAGGTGAAATTTAAAGGGACCTCACACTGGAACTGAGATGATTTTAAAAATTTTAATTTCAATAGCTTTAGGGGGTACAAATGGCTTTTGGTTACATAGATGCATTGTAGAGCCGAGATGAAGTCTGGGCTTTAGGTGTGCCCACCACCCCTACCTAGGCACACTGTACCCAACAGTTGATTTTTCATCCCTCCCTTCCTTCTCCCCTCCCCCTTCTGAGTCTTCAATGTACATGATACCATTCCATCATAAAGTCGAAAAATTTTAAGTCTGGTCATTGTAAGTCAGAAACCACCTTTACTTCAAAATTAAAAGTTTAAAAATATTAACTGCATCTGTTTCTTTTTACTTTTAAAAATGTGACTACTAAAACATTTAAAATTATACATGTGTTTCAGTAACCAAGACAGTATTCAGCATTAGCAGAAGGACAGATACATAGATCAATGGAACAGAATAGATAACCCAGAAATAGACTCAGACAAATGTCCAACTGTTTTTTGACAAAGGTGCAAAAGTAAGTCAGTGGAAGAAGAACTTTTTTCCTACAAATGTTGCTGAAGCAATTGGACCTATAAGTACAAAATTAACTTTGACCTAAGCGACACACCACATAAAAAATGAACTCAAAATATTTCACATTGGATATAAAACATAAAAGTTTTAGAAGAAAACATAGGAGAAAATATTCAGGATCTAGGGCTAGAGAAAATACTCTTAGATTTGACCTCAAAAGCACAAGCCATCAAAAAATTGATAAATTGAACTTCATCAAAAATTTAAAAATTTGTTTTGCAAAAAACCATTTAAAAAAGATGACAAGACCACATTCGGTGGCTTAGCCTGTAATCCCAGGACTTTGGGAAAATTAGCCGGGGGTGGTAGCACGCGCCTGTAGTTCTAACTACTTGGAAGACTGAGGTGGAAGGATCGCCGGAGCCCAGCAGTTCGATGCTGGGGTGGCCAGGAACGTGCCACTGCACTCCAGCCTGGGCAACAGAGTGAGACTCCAACTCAAAAAATAAATAAATAAAAATAAAAAGATGACAAACCACAGACTGGGTGAAAATATTTGCAAACCACATATTTGACACAGGACTGTTATCTAGGGCATATACATAATTCCCAGATACAACGGTAAAGCACTAACCAACCCATTTAGGAAATGGACAAAAGACATGAGCAGACATTTCACCAGAAGAGACACACAATGGCAATAAACATATACAATAGTTCAACCTCACCAGCCAATTAGGAAATGCAACTGAAACTACAACAAAATATTGTGTATATACACATGAGAGTGGCTAAAATGAGAAACAGTGACAACACCAAACTCTGGTGAAGAGCAGGTATGGGTCACTCATATATTGCTGGTGCCAATATAAAATTGTACAGCCACTGCAAAAGTTTGGTAATTTCTTTCTTTTTTCCTTCCTTAGAGACAGGGTCTCGCTATTGAAACTGGCCTAACTTCCCCATAGAACTAATGGTTACAGGTCTTTGAATAAACATAGAAATTGACCCTCCTGGTAGTAAAGCTTGAAACATACATTTGTCTTATCTGAGTTTCTTTCTTGGGAAGCACATAAGCTGACGTTCCTGCCCTTAATGCTTGAAGCATATATTTGTCTTAGATTCTGAGTTCCTTTCTCAGAAAACAAAACCTCAGGCCTATTGTATCAAAAAACTGAAACTCACCAGATCACCTCATCCAGACAATGAGATGTCAAAATCCACCTGTTTGTCACCTCTTCTTCTTTACCCCTCCTATTTCTTTTTAACCAACTCCTCTTCCTTATCTCTCCCAAGTTCCTGTTTTCTACATTCCTGCCCTACTGTGTAAAGCCCTGACTTCAGTTGGTGGGGGGATAGGTAGATTTGAGACTCAATCTCCCAGTCTCCTTGGCTAATATCACCCAAATAAAAAGCCTTTTTCACCAGCAATATTAATTTTATCAACAATTGGCTTTCTGTGTGGCAACTGAACCCCTGGTGTTTCAGTAATGCTATGTTGTGTATCCAGGCTAGACACAAACTCCTGGGCTCAAGCAAGCCTCCTGAGCAGGTGGGATTACAGGCTCAGGCCACCAGGAAAGTCTAGCAATTTCTTAGAAAACTAAACATGCACCTACCATGTGACCCAGACTGCATTCCTGCTTATTTATCCCAGAGAAATTAAATGATGGCTTATATTCCCATAAAAACCTGTACATGGATGTTTATTGAAACTTTATTAGTAATAGCTTAAAAAAAAATAAAAACAACTAATCTATTCACCAACAGTGGGACAGTTAAACTGTGGTTCATTCATGTAGGGAATACTACTCAGCCATAAAAAGAAATCAACTCTTGATACATGGAACGACTTGAATGAATCTCCAGAGATTTATGCTGAACAAAGTCAATCCCCAAACATTATATACTATATGATTTCATTTATACAACATCCTTGAAATGATAAAATTATAGAAAGGGAGAACATATTCTTAGTGGTTTCCAGGGGTTAGGGACAAGGGTAGCAGTGACAGAGAGGTGGGTCTGGTTCTAAAAGGACAACATGAGGGTTCTTATAACATTAGAAATGTTCTCTATGTCGACTGTGGTGGTAGACAAATCTACACATATGAGGAAATTCTAGAGAACTAAACACACACACACAAACACACACAGGTACAAGTTAAACTGGACAAGTCTGAATGAGATTACTATATTGTAGTAATATCAACACCCTAATTGTGATATTGTATGACATCACAGTTTTGCAAGATGTTACCACTGGAAGGAACTGAATAAAGGATAGATAAGATCTCTCTGCATTATTTCTTATAACTGCATATGAATCTACTGGATCTCAAAGCTTACCTGAAAAACGGCACGTGTCTTGTGTTTTCTCTATAGGACAGAGCTACCCTTGAGCGTCCCACCTCCCCCGTATTTCTCTGCCCCTCCTTGGTCCTGCATGAAGCCAGAGCTCTCCCAGCCCCATTGTATCTGGCTGTTTTTGTTGCTAAAGACCCCACTGCCCACATAGCAGGTAACCAACCTCCTTTCTTTCTGTTTCCGTCATCCCAAACTGGTAGTGACCCAGGAGGAAGGGCCACACGGCCTTACGGATCTCTGACTGGATGCCCCCGTAGTAGATGAGGCGCAGAAGCTCCTGCTCCTCGTAACTCTGTGGTGTGGGTGGGGGGGAAACAAAGGGTTTGGTAAAAACAAACAAAAAAACGGAGTAGATTCTGCAGTCTAACAGTCCTGCTTCCTGGACCTAGCCTTCAGATATCCTGGTGTGAATATGCAAAGTCACATTTACCTGTATATTCACTGTGGCATCATGTGAAAAAGCCACACCCTGGCAACTCTCCAACTGTCCACCAATGGCGGAACGTGCATCCCTACATGGGTATACCACTCAGAGATTTAGAAAGGCAAGAGATACACCTAGGATGATCTGCATAAAAAAGATGTTCAACGGCGGGGCATGGTGGCTCATGCCTGTAATCACAGTACTTTGAGATGCCAAACTGAGAGGATTGCTTGGGTCTAGGAATTTGAGACCAGCGTGAACAGCATAGTGTGACCCTGTCTCTATAAAAATTTTTAAAAATTAGCCAGGTGTGGTGGTGTGTGCCTGCAGTACTACTAGGGAGGCTGAGGTGGAAGGATTGTATGTGCCCAGGAAGTTAAGGCTGTGGTGAGCCATGATCATGCCTTCCAGCCTGGGCGACAGAGAGAGACCTGACAAAAGAAAAAAAATGTTCAGTGTTTCAGTGTGTATTAAATGCAAATGAACAAGATGCAGTAGATGTTTAGTGTGAACCACTTTTGTAAGAAGAAAAAAAGAAAGTAAGAAAGAAAGGCCAGGTCAGGCGAGGTGGCTTAAGCCTGCAATCCTAGCACTTTGGGAAGCTGAGGTGAGAGGATTGCCTGAACTCACAGTTCAAGACCAACCTGGGCAACTTGGTGAGACCTTTTCTCTACAATATATCAAAAATTAGCTGGGCGTTGTAGTGCACACCTGTAGTTCAGCTACTTGTAAGGCTGAGGCAAAAGGATTGCCTGAGTCCAGTAGGTCAACACTGGGGTGGCTGTGAGTGTGTCACTGCACTCCAGCCTAGGCAACAAAGTGAGACTCTAACTTAAAAATAAATAAATAAAAGAAAGGCCAGTCTACAATGAGTTAATATTTCTAACTCATTTTTAGTCAATTTTTTTTTCATACTGCGCTCATTTGGAAATATTATCCCGAAATTATTATTATTATTATTATTTTTGAGTCGGAGTCTCACTCTGTCACCCAGATGGGAGTGCAATGGCTGCTCCCGGCCACTGCAGCCTCGACCTGCTGGGCTCCAGTGATTCTTCCGCCTCAGCCTTCCAAGTAGCTGGAACTACAGGCGTGTGCTACCATGCCCAGCTAATTTTTGATTTGTTGTAGAGATGAAGTCTCATCAAGTTGTCCAGGTGGGTCTCGAACCCACGGGCTCAGGCAATCCACTCACCTCGGCCTCCCAAAGTGCTGGGATTACAGGCTGAGCCACCGAGCCTGGCCTATCTTGAAAGTATTAATATTGACTCAGCTCTAAGAAAAGTTATCTAAAGCAAATTAATCCAAAATGAACATTTCTAGCTGCTATTTCATACACTAATAACTTTTATATACACTAGAATGACTTTAACAACTGCTTGCTGTATTATGGAGTTGATTTTATCCAGCTACAATTAGTCAAGCTGTGGGACCAGCAGGTCCTAATTGTAGTCCTGTGGGAAGCACCATGGTGCTGGAAGACTGTCCTAAAGGGCCCTGGTATGTTCTCTCTCACCTCTTTAGAAGAACTCCACATTCCAGTAGCAAAAGCCTAATTCACATCTTCATGCAAGTCTTGGCAAAACCAGTCATTATTTTGTTGTTGGGAACTCTGATTTATATTGTGTGGATGGCCTTATCAAAGCTGTTTAAAAATCAGGTAACTCTTTGGGCTAAGTCTACAAATCCTTTATCAAAACCCCACAACCTCCTCTCTTGGAGCCCATCATCTGACTCCACTTCCCAGCCCCCTTTGCAGTTGGGTGTGGCCATGGACGGGTTCTGGTCAATGAGTATGAGAGGAAGTGATGCAGCCTTTTCCAGGCCAGGGCCAGGAGGAAGCAGGTGTGCTCCTTTGCTCTATTTCCCCTCCTGATCGCTGGAGGTGGAGACCACGGGGCCCAGAGGGGAGTGAGACCACAAGGCTGAAGGACCCTGAACCCTTGCAGGGAAGGGAGATGCCCACTCGCCAGCAAGAAATAAATCCCTATGGTGTCAGGCAAGTGAAATAGTGGGGACTATTTGTTACAGGGACTCAGTCTACACTAATACAACTATACAAGTAAGGAGGGCGAACACATAGCCAAAGAGATTGTAAAAGGGGTTAGATTTAAAAAATTCATTTTTGAATAATTTATTGTTTCAACTAATTTGTCCTCAGACTGGTATCTCCCAAATTGGGAGGATCACCAGAAGCACTTTGGGAATTTAAAAAAAGATAGATGCTTGAGCTTTATTCCCAGAGATGCTAAATCAGTGAGGTTGGAACCAAGCCCAGAAATCTATAAATCTTTTAAATTCCTCAGGAAATATGCCCACTCAGAGACTGCTGGTGATGGTGAACATTATGACCTTTTGAGAAAGTAAACTGGTGTGTCTATCTAAATTTTAAATGCACATCAATCAATTTTACTTCTAGGAATTCACTCTTGGAATAAATGTACTAGTACAGAAAGGTTTGTATTTATAAAGACGTTGATTGCAACATTGCTTGAAATAATTTAGGAAAGATTTGAATAAATTAAGGAACACCTATATATGAGGTGCCAAAGTTCTAACATTCAATATTTCACCTAAAGATTTGAAAGCTGTCCTTGATATAAAAGCTGATCACTTAAAATAAAAATATATTACCTCATATAAAAAATAAGAGATATACATAAGATAGATATAGATATTATAGAGATATAACTTTATCTATGGCTGGGCTCAGTGGCTCAGCCTGTAATCCCAGCACTTTGGAAGGTTGAGACGAGTGGATTGCCTAAGAACGTGGGTCCGAGACCAGCCTGGGCAACTAGGTGAGAACTCGTCTCGACAATAAAATAAAAAATTAGCTGAGTGTGGTAGCGTGCGCCTGTAGTTCTGGCTACTTGGAAGGCTGAGGCTGAAGCATTGCCGGAGTCCAGCAGGTCGATGCTGGGATGGCATTCCAGCTGGGACGATGGAGTGAGACTCCAACTCAAAAAAACCCACCAACTTTATCTACATATTATATAGGTATGTATTTCTATACCTATATAGATTTATATCCATAGATATATACTTATATTTTATTGATACATAGTTAGAGAAATATATACGAATATGTAGAAATATAAATATATAGAAAATATACTATTTATAGGTACATAAAACTCTATGTATCTCTTTATATATCTCTCTATCGATATATAATGTCTGTATCTAAGTATATAGAGACAGAGAAAGCATTTTCCTGAGGAATTTAAAAGACTTATAAATTTCTCAGATTAGCACCAGCTTTACCAATTTAGCTTCTCTGAAAGTGGTGCTCCGAAATCTATAGTTTTTGGAAGTTTCTAAGCCAATGTTTTTTTTTTTTTTTTTGCCTCCAAGTCCCAGGGCATCCCCAAAGTAATGCACAGACTAGCACCTTCTCTTAAGGTGTGGAGGCCAGCCCAGCCAGGTGCTCTTCTGCTTAGCCTCCCCAGCACCTTGATGGGAAGGTCACAGCAGACTGGGCTGCTAGATCTCCCCTCCTCCTAACTCCTGCTCTTGGCACAGGTAAGCTAGTGCTTCTTAAAGTGGGTTCTGCCTTCCATGAGCCATGGGAGGCACTTTTCCAACAAAGGTTTCTGTGGTCAAATACCTTTGAGGAAATGTTCCATATGCTCTCACACATGCCCCCAATTTCTTTTTTCTTTTTTTTTGAGTTGGAGTCTCACTCCGTCACCCAGGCTGGAGTGCAGTGGCACACTCACGGTCACCCCAGTGTCAACCCGCTGGACTCCGGCGATCTTTCCGTCTCAGCCTTCCAAATAGCTGGAACTACAGGTGCGTGCTACCACTCCTGGCTAATTTTTTGATTTATTGTGGAGACACGTTCTCAACAAGTTGCCAGGGCTGGTCTTGAACCTGTGGGCTCAGGTAATCTACTCGCCTTGGCCTCCCAAAGTGCTGGGATTACAGGCTAAGCCACTGAACCCGGTCACCCCCAATTTCTTGAGAGTAACAATGATGTTAGCATTGCCAAGGCTCTGAGAAGTCCTGCAGAAACCAGAAAACTGTTTGACTTCAAGTTTCCCAAACTATTTGACTATGAATTTTTTTTTAAAAAATAAACATTTCCTTTCCAGGAACGTTTGCATTCTAATAAGAAAATCTTAGAAAGCATTCCAGGTGAACTACCTAATGGTACAACCTCAGGTCCCAAGACAGAGATGGGAGAAAGAGTTTCAAACAATGGAGGCAAAGGTTTTCTTGGTCCAGCTGCCTCCCTCTAACTTATCTGCCCTCATCATTCCGGGTAGTTTCAACTGGACTGTAGATTCCTTCTGGCTGGGACCATGTCTCAGCATCTTGTATAAGATGAGGATATAGCTGATGCTTAGTCATAAACGCTTACTGACCGATTTATTCTTTACTTCTTCCTGGGAGCATATGTTTCCCATCCCTCTCCATCTCCACCCTAGCAGGCAGAGGTGAGCTGTGGGTCACAGAAATCTCAAGAAGAGGAGGGGAGCACCAGTCTGCATGCGCAGAATCCAAGTGTGTCAGCTTGAGTCCCCGCAAGCAGCTTTCTCAGACAACAAGACAACCTCCCCTGAAGCCTCCACACCACCGCAGACCAAGCCCAGCCAAGCCTTACTGTGCTATCCTGAAGGTACTTCTCCCAGATTCCAGCTGTCAGCCCCTGTCCAGCATGGCAGGGCAAGTCCGGGGACACGATCATGTGATTGACCAGTGCTGACAGGTGGGTTCTCACGGTGGACAGGTGTCTGCAGTAGGCAAGCCCTGTTGGGAAGGGAAGAAAGTGTCATCCTCCGCCACCTGATACCCCTCATATTGGCTCATGGAATCTCTGAAGTGCTGTCCCATTTCCCGTCTCATTGAGCCTCCTGCAATTGGTGAATTCTCTTTCCCAGACAAGGAGGGTAGGGCTTGGAGGGGCGATGTCACTTGCTGGCTGAACTGATTAATAGCTCTGTGACCCCAGGAAAGTCTTTTCTCCTTCCCAGCCTCACTCAGGGTGATGCCACCCTCCTCTGCTGGAAGACAACGAATTTAATATGCAGGCTGGAGGCAGAGACGAGGCTGGAAGAAAGGGAGCCGGCCGGTGTTTCTCCAGGCTTGCTGGGCCTCTGTCTATCTCCAATTCATTCAGAGGTACTGTAACTAACTATAGGGAATGGGAGTGGACAACCTCCTTTCAAATTGCAGCTGGATGGGTATTTATCCAAAAGAAAGGAAATCAGTATATCAAAGAGATGCCTGCACTTTCATGTTAACCGTGGCACCATTCACAATAGCCAAGAAAAAGAATCATCCTAAGTGTCTGTTAATGAATAAATGGATAATGAAAATGCATGTACACTCAATGGAATGTTATTCAGCCGTGGAAAATAATAGACTCTTTTCATTTGCAGCAACATAGATGGAACTGGAGGCCATTATATGAAGTGAAATAAGCCAGGCACAGAAAGACAAATGCCACGTGTTCTCACTCATACGTGGGAGCTAAAAAAGTGGGTCCCATGGAGGTGGAGAGTAGACTGGTGTTTACCAGAGGCTAGGAAGGGAAGGGGCAGGTGAGGGATGGGGAGAAGTTGGTCTTAAAGGCACAAAAATACAGTTAGCTCGAAGAAGTAGGTTCTCACATTTGAGAGTACAGTAGGGAAAGTACAGCTAATGATAATTTATTGTATATTTCACTACAGTGAGAAAAGAATTGTGATGTCCCAACACAGAGAAAAGATACATGATTGAGGTGATGGATGTCATCACAATTACCAGGACTTGATTAATACACATTGTATACATGTGTCAAAATATCACATGTGCTGGGCTTGGTGGCTCAGCCTGTAATCCCGCGCCTTTGGGAGGCTGAGGTGAGTGGATTTCCTGAGCCCACGGGTTCGAAACCTCATCTTTACAATAAAGCAAAAAATCAGCCGGGCGTGGTAGCGCATGCCTGCAATTCCGGCTACTTGGAAGGTTGAGGCAGAAGGATCGCCGGAGCCCAGTAGGTCGAGGCTGCGGTGGCCAGGAGTGGCCACTGCACTCCAGTCTGGGCGACAGAGTGAGGCTCCAACTCAAAAAAAACAAAAACAAAAAAATCACATGTACCCCCCAAAATATGTACAACTATGATATATCTATAAAAAATAAACAAATTGCAGCAGGATTAAAAAAAGGCCCCAGCAAGTCAGTCACCAGGGAGATGCTGAGGGCACCCAGGATGCTTTCAGAGATGGTCCTGTGCCCCTACAGGAATGCCTGTCCATGTGCCACTGCTTATCTGTCCCCCGGGCACAGATAAGGGTTCCTCTGGCAAGTTCCCGGCATGTGAGAGGCACTTAGCAAACGCCAGCCTGTGCTGTTTGCTCTGACCGTTTCTGCTCCTTCTGGCACTTTCTGACCATTTAATTCCCAGCTCCCAGAGAGAACCCTAGACCTCCTGGAGCCTGAGGAAGCTACTCTAACTTCAGGTATAACCACAATCACGATGATGATGATGATGATGATGATGATGATGATGATGATATGACAGCTAACACTTACGCAGCACATACTATGTGCCAGGCAGCTGTTCTCAGAGTCTGCATAACTTAACTCATTTAATTCTCACCACATCCCACAAAACAAGTACTGTTATGATCTCCATCTTATAAGTGGGGTAAACTAAGGCTCAGGCTGATTCTATCACTTGCCCAAGTCATACTGCTGGGATTTGAAACAAGGTCACCTGGCTCCAAGACCTGGGCTCTCAAACCACCATCAGGAATGAGCCACATTGCCCAATGACATCATTCCAGATCCTCATTGACTCCCACCGCTTCCTCCAGGAAGATCTTCTACTTGGGTCCAGTAAATACTTGCCCCATGCCTGTCCCATGCCAGGTCCTGCATTAGGATGGGTGGCAAGAAATCAGGTAAAAGCCTTGTTTTAGTAGCCTCATGCTCTCCTTCCCTCTCCAGGAGCTTGGGGATGTGACCTGCAGTGCCACTTCACAGGGTCATACAGGTTGTATTAAGACTTTTCTAGCCAGGCACAGTGGCTCACATCTGTAACCACAGCACTTTGGAAGGCCGAAGTGGGTGGATTGCTTGAGCCCAGGAGTTCGAGACTATCCTGGGGAACATAGTGAGACCTTGTCTCTACAAAAATAAAAATAAAAACATTAGCTGGGAGTGGTGGTGCACACCTACAGTTCCAGCTACTCAGGAGGCTGAGGCAGGAGGATTGCTTGAGCCCAGGAAGTCGAGGCTGCGATGAGCTGTGATAATGTTACTGTACTCCAGCCTGGGGGTCAGAGTGAGATCCTGAATTAGGAAAAAAAAAAAAAAAAGAGGATGGGCTCAGTGGCTAAGCCTATAATCCTAGCACTTTGGGAGGCTGAGGCAAGTGGATTGCCTAAGTCAGCAGGTTTGAGACCAGCCCGGGCAATTTGGCGAGACCTTGTCTCTATGATAAATCAAGAAATTAGCCGAGCATGGTAACACGTGCCTGTAGTTCTGGTTACTTGGAAGGCTGAGGCAGAAGGATCACTAGAACCCAGCAGGTCGACACTGGGGTGGCCGTGAGTGTGCCATTGCACTCCAGCCTGGATGATAAAGTGAGACTCCAACTAAAAAAAAAAAAAAAAAGACTTTTCTAGAATCCCGGAAAATATATACATGTTTTCTCTCTCCCATTTAGGCTATGAGGCTGGAGAAACAAAATATGCCAAGAATCAATATAGCAGAGAGGAAAAGAACAAGGCCTTTGGAGTCAAGCAAGCCAGGGTTTAAGTCCCAGCTGTGCTGTATATTAGCTGTGTGACCTTGGGCAAGTCACCTTACCTCTCTGTGCCTTAGTTTCCTCATCTGTTACATGGGAATAATCAGACTAACTATATTATGAATTTAATTTTTAAGTTTCTGGAGGGGATAATGCCACCTTATTCTTGTGCTTCTGCCTGTAGAATAAGGGAACTGACATTTATTGAGCACCTATGACATGCAATACTATGTGCTGAGGCTTTATACATGCTTCTCATTCAGTCCTGAAAACAGACCTTCCAGGTAGGTTTTGGGAATGCGATGGTGAGTAAACTACCCCAAAGGGGCCCCATCGTTCACCACTCCCTTTCAGAACCCAGGGGAAAATATATCTGCAATCTGTAGATGAGGAAACTGAGGCTCACAGAGGTTAATGCAACTTCACTGAAATCGGCCCTCTAAGAACTAGAGGAGCAGAGGTTCAAACTCCTGAGCCAATATCCCCTGACACTGCTGGCATACAGTAGGCACTCAATAACTGCTCCTCCGAGACCACACACTGACAACGAAGACCTATACGTACATCCATAGAAGGCCCTGGAGAGGATCTGGTACTTCATATTGTCACAGAGAAGTTTCAGGGGAGCCCTGTAGGTGGGAAAAGAGGAAGATGCTTACAAAAGACCCAAACACAACCCTGGTTTTCTGTAGAGGAGCACAGCCCAGAGACAGATTAAAACCAGCCAGTTGGGATACTGTCGGGAGGCCAATGTTATTTCTGCCCATGCAGCAGCATTTGTCTTTTTTTCTGTGATCAGACCCCAATTTTCCCTTGAGGAATCCCCCCGCTAATGTTCTGTCCCTGTGGTTTGGATAGGGGTGAGACTACGCAGTACATGACTCAAGTAGGAGCCATGGTGATTAGGTCAGAAGTGGTCATGTGGCCCAACCTGGGTCAATGAGAAACAGCCCTGGGACTTGTGTTGAAACTACCAGGAAACAGATACCCTTTTCTCTTTTGAGTGTCAGTGGGCTGTAGGAAAGTGGCTGCTTTTTTTGCCACTGCATAGGATGGGCCTGCCTGAGAATAGAGCCATCATTGAGGCAAGCACAGCTAAGAGCAGAAGAAACACACACACACACACACACACACACACACAGATTGATTCCTGTTCTGAACATCTAGATCCAGCCATGCCTGAAGCCACTTTGCCTTTGAACTTCTCAGGAATGACAACACATTTTCTTTTTTACTTGCACCAGTTTGAAGGCAATTTGTCATTTGCAGCAAGACTGCTGAAGTGACCCAGCTGAACCAAACTGAGCCAAACTGGGATTCAGAGTCCGGCTGACTGCACAGTAGGTAATGCCTCAAAGCTTTTCCTTGCATGGAAACTTTTGTGGGTTTTTTGGGGGGCTGAAAGAGGAGAGAGGAGTAAGGCCCCAGCATTGTGGAAGAAAACATGGACCGCTGAAAGGAGTGTTGCTCATTCTTATAGAGCTCAGGGTGGAAGAATATCTATTAATTCTCAGACCACCCCAGGGGACACTTAGAAAAATCCAAGGAAACTGGAGGAGCATAGCTGACATCTTCACTTAAACTCTATAGTGCCCCTATTTGTGGGTGAAGCTCAGACTCGCTCAGGTTACATAGGAACAGGATCACACTGATGGCTGTCCCACAGTGTACTTGGGTTTCTGCTAGGTAGTGAGCTCCCCATCACTCCAGGTGTGCAAGCCAATGCAATGGGAAGGGGCAATGAGTGACAGCAGCATCTCTTACTGGCCCAAGGACTACTAGCCCAAGAATTCCTTGGGTTTTCTCCAACATGTAGACTCCTGGGCCCCACAGAGACCTACTCAAACAGAACCTATGAGAAATAGTCTAGGAACTGGTATGTTCTGCAAGCTCCCCCAGAGGATTCTAACACATATTCTAGTTTGAGAATCTCTAGTTATACCAGCACTTTTCAAACTTAAAATTATACCCACGCTTTTGGGATCATGTTAAATACGGATTCTGATTTGGTAGGTTTGGGAGGAACAGACTGAGGACCTGACCAGGAGATGATGCTGGTTCACAGGTCACATCCTGAGGAGTCAGGGGGAACTTTACTGCTGGCCCCCACCCCTTATGCTCCTAAGGCTGAAGCCTGGACCACCCATAGGGATAAAAGCCCAGTAAGGACAAAAGAATTTCATTCTCCCAGGCCAGGCAGGGCCAGTGGGAAACAAAACCAGTCTCATGAACTGGCTGAATAGTTTCAACAAGACAAAAGTTTCTACAGGCAAAGAGAAAAATGAGCTTGAGTTTTAATTCTATTTATAAAACAGTAAGTGGCATTACCTGAACATTACCGTGTGCCTGGCACCACATGCTTCCACTTTAAACCATTATTTGATTTGGCCCTTACAACAGCCACACAAAGTAATATTAGAAGCTCCATTTTGTGGAGGAGCAAATTGAGGCATATATATTTGCCTTTAAATAATATTTCTGGTACTATTCTACCTTCCAGGTACATAGTAGGGCTGTACTTCCTAGACCCTTATGGGTGAGGCTAATGAGCTGTGAGCAGAAATGACATGTGCTGCTTTTAAGTGAAGCATTTATTGTTGGTTCAAGCCCCTTCAGAGCTACCTGTTCCCTGTCCCATTCAGGATGGTTGCTGCTCCATCAGTCAGGCCCTTTAATGTGGAGAAAGCAGAGCCCCCAGCTGATCCATGATAGACACATAGTATGAGTGATAAAACTTTGCTGTAAAAAATCACTGAGATGATACATGTAAGTAAGCTCCAACAGCTAGGACTTCATAAAGCAGGGATTTAACCTAGAGATGGTTGACTCCATGGCCTATGTTCATTCCTCTGAATTCAGTACAAGGCAAGAAATGGGCATCCACAAGTCTTTGGTATGCCCTTCAGTTCCCTCCATCTACAGCAAAAGCCCCTCATACCTCTCGTGGTTGCAGCCATTGCTTGGGCCACCATCGGCCGAGCCACCCTGTGAACAAGATGAGCAGGAGGATTTCCGGGGGCTGGGTTGCCACAGGGATGGGAGGTTGCTCACAGAGACATCCATCAGATCCTGGGGGACTGTGGTGAGCAGAACAGGAAGAAGAACCCTGGTTAAGTGTATGTGGGTCACAGAAACCTCACCCCCAAAGAAAGCAGCTCACCCCTAGGCCAGCACAGGAATAGGGAAAGACACCAGAATGTGACAGCGGGATACAGCCACCTCAATCATACTCTGACCCAGGTCCTTGAGCTCGCCCGATCCAGTGAAAGCCACTCCAAAATCTGGGGGCCTAGAAGATGGGCAGAGCTGATGGCAGCTAAAGAGAGAGGAGGAAAATAAAGAGAGAGCCAAGAGTCAAGAAGACAGGCCCAGTCCCAGAGCAGGAGACCATCTCCACCATGTTGTCATTTAGCATTTAGTCATGCTCACAGGATGCTACAGGATGGAAAGGGAACCTGCTGGGTGCCTCTGGGGGAGACTGATGGTCTTGAGTCCCTGGAGATGGACCTCATGGGGTGAGATGGAAGGGAGCCTGATCAACAGACCAGGCTGGGCACCCAAGGCCAGGAGACCCAGTGGAGTCCCTGCTGATGGGAAAAGAGAGTGCCTGTGCTGTCCATGGTCCTGAGCACAAATCTGCTCCACCAATCAGGTCAAACAGAGTGGGGACCCACCAGAATCATGTAAAAGCCTATGGCTGCCCTACAACTCTGGCCTACTGAATTTAAACTTTCTGGACACAGAGCCCTCAAGTCTGCATTTTAAAAACAATTTTTCTGGGTGTGGTGGATCACATCTATAATCCCAGCACTTTGGGAGACAGAGGTGAGAGGACTGCCTGAGCCAAGGGGTTTGAAGCTAGCCTGGGCAACTTGGCGAGACCTCATCTCTATAATAAATAAAAAAAAATCACTGGGTGTGGCGGCACACACCTGTAGTTCCAGCTACTTGGAAGGCTGAGGTGGAAGGATCACCTGAGTCCAGCAGGTCAAGGCTGCTGTGGTCATGATTGTGCCACTGTACTTCAGCCTGGGTGACAAAGTGAGACTCCAACTCAAAAATTAATTTTTCTTTTTTATATAGCATCTACATTTCAGAGATCCTGGTCTCCTCTCTCTGGGACACTGGTGATTCCTGACCAACTGGTCTTAAAATACAGCACTCGTAGTTTCCCTTATTTTCTTTTGCTCCCAGTTTCATGGAAATGGTAGAGTCTATAAAACTACAAAACAAACATATTGGGACAGATGCATTACTATTTTGTAGTCAATAGTCCTGGCCTATCAGCGGTCCTAGACAGGTGAAAAAGTTCTATGGTCTCTAGGACAGGACTCAGTAAACTTTTTCTGTAAAAGGGTGAGGGGTGATTTTAGGGTTTGCAAGCCATTTGTTCTCTACCATAACCACTCAACTCTGTTGTCATAGTGTAAAAGTAGCCAGAAACAAATGAGCATGGGCACATTCCAATAAGACTTTACCCGTGGACATGGGAATGTGAATTTTCATTTTCACACGTCATGAAATATTATTCTTTTTTTATCACTAAAAAAATGAAAACCATTCTGAGCTCATGGGCTATACAGAACAAAGCTGGATTTGGCCCACAGGCAAATCAAGAGAGGTGCACATCTTTCCAGTATGCCATGGCTCCTGTAAGGACAATTGGTAACAGCCTGCCTCTTCCCTGGGGCTCCCAGGGAAGAAAAGTTGTGGACCTGCTCCTCTAGTCATCAGAGCTCAGTAGCTGACAGGGTCAGCCCCTATCCACCAACAGAGTAGGAAGCCTACAGAATGCAGTTCTTGCGGTTACCAAATGAACCTTGTTAAACTATCCCTTTTCATGCAGACACATCCATGAGGCAAGAAAGACCAGTCAGCCCCTGTAAAATATTCTAGAGAAACATCCCCAGTTCTTAGCCAATCTCAGGGAAGGACCTGACTAGGTTAGTCCTGTGTGGGGACCCTGGCTCCATCCAGTCCCTCACACTCATGGGTCTCCTTGCTACTGAACCCACAGAAGACCAAGCTGCCTTCTGCGGGGTGGAGGCTGGACAGCATTTGTCCATTTGTCTCCTTCCTCCATCTCCCTTGGGACCAGGACTCAAATGACAACATGGCAGAGGTGGCTGGCACCCAATCCCCAGGGAGTAGGGGATCCAGGACATTACTGGGAAGCTGTTCTTTCAGGCTTGGTGTGGGGAGGATGGCGTTCCATCTGGCTTGTGCCCAATGACTTCCCCTGGCTACCACCAGCATGGACTGGCCTGCGGGAACCATCGTCCAGGCAGGGCCCAGGGAGACGGGGGAAGTGCTGCCCAAGAGGTCGGGGCCAACTTGAGAGACAAAACAAAAGGGACTGGTGAGGTGGAAGGTCTGAGGTGGGCAGGACACTGAGACAACCAGAAGAACCAATTCCAGGGGGGCTCTAAGCACTGCTCTACATGGCTCCTATGTATTTTGTGTTCAGAGGAAGAAAGTATGCTGATATTATAAAGTGCCTACTATGTGCTAGGTCCCCGGCTAGAATGTTTGCCTTAATATCCTTAGTGTCCCCATAAGAGATGCATCCCGCAACCCCATTTTGCAGAAGAAACTGAGGCTCAGCATAATGACATAACTTAATCACCCAAAGCCCTGCCAGGCAGTAATAAACACCTCTAGTCTTTTTGACCGAAGTCCCTCTTCTTTTTCCACTGTCAACAGTGATCACGTACTGAGTGCAGGATCTATCATGAACCGCTTTCACAGATTAGGATGCTCAGACATGGAGAATTTAAGCAACGTGCCCAAGACCACCCAGCTGACACATGGTGAGTGAAGACTCCCACCCAGGGGAATTGACTCCAACATCCTGCTCAAACACTCCTGCTGTCTTCCTATTGGTTCTTGTCTCCCCACAACATCCAATCTCAATGGAGGTAATTTCAGTGATGTCTGGAGACGCTTTTTGGTTGCTACAACGTGAGGATCAACTGGATGTTCCCAGCACTGATCGGCTGGAGGCCAGGGACACTGCTCCGCATCCTACCATGCACCAGACAATCCCCACACCCAGAGTCATCCAGCCCCAAATGTCAGCGGTGCTGGCGATAAGAAGCCCTAAGCTAGACCAGTGCTGTCCCGCAGAAATGCAGTGGGGCCACATAGGTAGTTTAAAAGTTTTCAGTAGCTACATTAAAAAGGTAAAAACAAACAAGTGAAATCAATTCTGACAACATAGTTTGTTTAACCCAATATCTCCAAAGAGTTATCATTTTAACATGCAATCAAAATTAAATTACTAATGAAATATTTTACATTTTGGGGGGTACAAAGTCTTTAAAATCCAGTGTACATTTTTCTCTTCAAGCACATCTCAAGTGGCATTAGCCGCATTTCCAGGGCTTGGTGGTCACAAGTAGCTTACAGCTGCACTACTGGACAGTCCAGAGACAATCTCAGCAACAGAGGAGTCAGAAAATGCCCTTATCTGTCTGCAGACTGTCTAAATGCTTTAGAACCTGTCTTTGCCTACTCAGTACACAAGGGGCAGGTGAAAAACCCAGGGGTGGAGAACCAACTATGGGCACATCTTCCCTCCCATGGGGTGGAACACTGCTTATTATTTAAGGCAGTCATCTGCATTTCTTTTCTTTTCTTTCTTTTTTTTTTTTGAGTTGGAGTCTCACTCCGTCACCCAGGCTGCAGTGCAGTGGCACACTCACGGCCATCCCAGTATCAACCTGCTGGGCTCAGGCGATCCTTCTGCTTCAGTCTTCTAAGTAACTGGAACTACAGGCATGTACTACCACGCCCAGCTAAGTTTTTGATTTATTGTAGAGAGGAGGTCTCACCAAGTTGCCCAGGTTGGTCTTGAACCTGTAGGCTCAGGTAATCCACTCGCCTCAGCCTCCCAAAGTGCTGGGATTACAGGCTGAGCCACCGAGCCCATTCATTTTTTTTTCTTTAAAGGGACAGAGAGTAAATATTTTTGACTTTGTAAGTCATATGATTCTGTCATTAAACTCTGTCATTGTGGCATGAAAGCAGACACAGACTGTATGTTAATGAATGATGTGGTTGTGTTCCAATAAAACTTTATTTACAAAAACAGGCAAGGGGGCTGAATTTGACCTACTGGAAGGGGTTTGTTGATTTCTGATCTAGGCACTACTCCAGAAAGGACTTCATACCTCTCACAGACGAAAACTATTAAGACAACAGTTTGTGTTATGCTCAGGGCTCTAAGAAAAAAAAAAAAAAAAATCAACCAAGGATGGGCTTGCCATTTCCCTGGGCTGAATCTGACCTTGAGAATAAAGACAGTGAAACCACAGTGCCCTTGCTCCTGCCAGCCAAAACAAATACACATGAAGTGATTGTTAGAGACAAAGGCTCTGGAGTCACACTACCATGCTGAGAATGAGCTGTAAGACCCTGGGCCAGTTGCTTAGCTTTTCTGTGCTTCAGTTTCCTCCTTTGCAAAATGGGGGTTGGTGATGACAACGGTAACTACCTGGAAGGGTATGGTGGGAGTAAAATCAATTAAGACATGGACAGAGTACAGACGTGAGCCTGGTACACAGTGACACCCAAGACATGAGACCCACTATTGCTCACTGAGCACCGGCTGAACATCAGGCCTCATGCCTGGTGACCAGGTGTTTTATGAACAACCACACTGACCCTCAGAATAGGGTTCTGGTGGGAGTGTTGTCATCCACATTCTACAGACAAGAACATGAGGTCTGAAGAGGACAGGTCATGAGACCATGCCACAGTGGTTGAACTGAATACCATGATGTGTTCTTTGCTCTAAATCAGCGGTTCACAACCAGGGGCCATTCTGTCACCTCCTCCCCAGAGGACACTTGTCAATGTCTGGAGACTTTCCTGGTTGGTACAGCTTGCCAGGGGGGTGGGTGGGTGGTTGCCACTTGGCACCTAGTGGGTATAGGCCAGGGATGCTGCTCAATATCCCACAATGCACAGGACAAGGGATGATTCTGTCCAAAGTGGCAGGTGTGCCAAGGCTGAGATGCCTGGTTCTGAGTAAACTGGCATAGTTGGGGGTTCCTCCATGGCTGACGAGGATTCAAGTGCAAGAGGCAGTGAAACAGGGCAGGAAAGGCAGGGAGTTGGGGCTAGTTGCCAAGCAAGGACCCCTGGGGGGCAACTGTGCCTAACCTCCAGCAGGACCTTGGGAGACTGTGTGGAGCATGGCTTTGGAGTCTGTTCCCGAGGGGAGAGTAACCTGGGGGATTTATATACTAACTCCTGTCAGTTATGGGCTGCCCCGGCAGGCACTGATTCCCTGACACTTCCGATATGCCCCACCCATGGGCAGAAGGGACGCTGGTGGCCAGAGAAACTCCCCAGGCAGGGAGCTGGCAGGTGCACAGCACATGTGGAATGGGAAATGCCAAGGCTGTGGGTGGGCACAGCTAGCATCTGTTCTGCTGGTTCACATCAACCACAAGAGGATAACATGGATATTCCCCAAAGAAATCAAACAGCCAGTGCCCAGCCTGGAACCCAGCAGGAGTGTACACATGACTTGCTGGGTGAGAACCAGGGGCAAGTGTCTTTTGGGCAGGCAGCTTCGGGGATCCAGCCTTCTCTGACTAACCATTTCTCGAGTGGGGCATCTGAATTCACACCAGCCTTCACATGGGTGGGAAGCCCGGATTCTTGGGCAACTGAACTGAAGCCAGCTCTGCATCCTGGGGGATCGTACCCTCATTCATGCAGCCTTTTCAGCCTCGGGCCTGGAACAGCCTTGGTGTCTGACTGGGCCGTGGAAGCCTGGTTCCCTGTAGCGGCTGGTGGCCTCCGGCCCGGCTACTGGGCAGGAACAGGCTTGGCAATGAATTCTCAAGACACTCAGTAGCACTTATGGGATTCCAGCCTTGCAGGCAAAGACCTCTGCTCTCAAGAGAGCCTCGCCCTGTCCAGCATGCAGCCACTTAAGCAGAGAGAGGCTCAGAGTCATTACCCATCAAGTGGGAAAAAAACCACAGGGCTGCTGAGAGATAACTAAAAGGAGGCGATCAGAAGGAAGCTGCAGCTCAGTATTGATTCATTTCGCTTTCGTAGATACCCACACAGTGGTTCACGAATGCCAGGCCCCCATCCGAGGCCTCACACAGCCCCATGGTAACAATGATCTTAACAGCGAGTGTCCATTTGCAGAGCGTCTGCCTCATGCAGTCACCATGGACAGCCTGACACAGGATCGTCCCGCGTGCTGGTGCCTCGTGCTTTGCTTCCCATCCACTGTTGCGACTGCCACTTACTGAGGGCCTACTCCATGGGTGCTCCATTGACCAACTCATCAGCTCACTGAATCCTAGTGGCAATTAGTTGAAATGAAACATTAACAACTAAACGACAGCTGCCAACAATGGAGTGTTCTCTCTGTACCAAATGCCTTATCTCAGATAATCCTCAGTACGACCCTATGAAACAGATGCTATGAACTTCTCCATTTTACAGATGAGGAAACTGGGCACAGAGAGGCACAGAGAGGTGAAGTGACTTGCCCAGATTCAGTCAGGATTCCACAGCCCATGCCATCACCTACTGGCATCTGTAGCAGCCACACAGGCAGTGGCTGTGTATGTTCCCATCTGGGGGAAAACTGAGGTCTCCAAGATACTGACTTCTTGATTCCAGGTTCTCCCTTGCGAGTCTCAGACTCCAGACCTCCCGTCTTTCAGGTCCAAATGCTTGCAGTTGTTTTCAGGACCAGTTAGCAGGTGGCTCCCTGGGGCCCAGGGCCAGGGCAGCTTACCCAATTCTGACTGCATGCCAGGGTAGATGATCCTGAACACGTAATCCGTGGCCTCGTCATCTTCCTTGTCTGAGGACGTGGACTCAGCAGAACCCTGAGGGCTTCGCTTGCGCAGTTTTGGAAACACTTTGCCCTGAAAGAACATGTCCCAGTGCAAGGTCCTTGGGACACACCTGTTCCCACACCTGCACAGCCTGAGGGCCTAGTGTGGGGAGAGCTTGAGCCCACAAAGCTGCATGAGGGCCCAGAGTCAAGAACAACCTCCCCACCCCAACCTCCCTGCCCCATGGTCACTCACCTTCCCCCGCTGGGACCACAGTGGTGGATCCAGCTGCCCATGGGGCAGCAGCCCATTCTCCAGGCATGAGAGGAACTGCAGGAGGTGCCCACCCTTGGGGAAGTGGAAGGGTGGCCTCTGGATCCCGTCCTGGCTGACCAACACCACCGTTCCGCCGCTGTCCACTGCCACCACGACCAGCCGGAGAAGACCCAGGGGAAGTCACTATGAGGCATGGCGACAGGGCCCTTCCCACAAATACATCCCCCGGGGTGCCACGCCAGACCCAGGAGATCCCGCACCAACAGAAACATGCCCCAACACCATACACTCATCAAGACTCCTCTACAAGTTGACCTGACCTATTTTTGTATGGAGGCCTTGAGACATACCCCTTCTTAGGGAAGTAGTTGATCCTGGCTAGCATGTATGAGCATTTACTGAAAACAAACACAGCACATTAAAGGCACTGACTGTTTCACTGTAGTACTCACAACATCCCTGTGAGGCATATCAATGATTGCTTATTTCACAAAGCTCAGAGGGGCTAAGTAACTTCTTCAAGGTCACACAGCTGATCAGTGGCCGAGGCTGGCTCTCAATATCCAGGTCTGTCTCATTAAAAGGCTTCACCTGCTGGGCTTGGTGGCTCAGACTGTAATCCTGCGCTTTGGGAGGCCGAGGTGAGTGGACTGCCTGAGCCCGCGGGTTCAAGACCTGCCTGGGCAACTTGGTGGGACCTCATCTCTACAATAAATTTTTAAAAAGGCTTCACCTACTATGTTTTGTGCCTTTCCTAGGCAGGAGGGTTCACTGCTTGTTCTGACTGTACCCTCTGGCTTTAAAGCAGAACTGCAGTTATTAACCCTAGGACTTCAGAGCACTGACTTTGGAGTCATAAAGACCTGCCTTCCAGTCCAGGCTCTGGAGCTCACAGGCTGTGTGACTCTGTGCAAGTTGCTTCCTTGCCTCAAACGTGGGAATGACATCACTCTTATCATCGGGCCATCATGACAATTAAACAGCAGGCCTGTGAATACTTAGAGTTGTGCTTGGAGAGTTACAAGTGCTCAAAAAGTGTCAGCAACTAATGCCATGCATTTGATGCTAAGCCTTTAACACATGTCATTCGATCTGTACAGCAACCTCATGAGAAGGTGCTGCTAGGATCTCCATTTTACAGATGGGGAAATCGAAGCTTGGAGAGGCGAAGTCACTTCCTTGAGTTGCGCAGGCAATATGGGATGGCCATCCCATCATCTTTGATGCTAATGAAGGGGCAGGGGTGGACGCAGGCAAGGGAGCCAAGAGGAACATCCAGCCCCTTGCCGTCCCTCCTACCTTGCTGGTGGCAGTGCAGGTAGACAATCTCCTCCAGGCGGATGGTCATGGCATAGTCCCAGTAGACGCTGGAAGGGGAGGGTCAGGCTTGTGGGACACTGCCTGCCTGCCTCATGGTGGAGAGCGGCTCTGGAGGCGGCAGATCTGTGTCCCAGCCTGCCTAGACTCTGCCTCCTCTTTTCTTCCCCAATTTTCCAAGGGAACCAGGCTTCTCCACCCCCAGTCCCTGTGGCTGGAGTGAGGATGGCCATATCAACTCTCCACCCCGGACTCCAGGAATGGCCACCTGACTTAGGCCTGGTCAGTCAACCTGGTCCACTGTTCCAGTCACAGTGACTGGTGCAGGGATGGCTCCAGGACCCACACAGAACCAGTGAGGCTCAACTATTGGATTTATGTTGGGATGACTGGGAAGGAGGTTCCCCTTTCTACTGGAAAGAAGTGGTGAGGACAGAAGTATGGAGATGGAAGGGACCGTGACTAGGAATAGAGTCAACAGACGGGAAGGCAGAGTTAAGAGATGGAAAGAGTGCAAGTCCCCATCCTTCATATCCCTGGATCAACCCATGCCTGAAGCCACTGTCCCTGGATTTTTCAGTCCACATGAGCCAGTGCTTAAGTCAGCTTGAGATTATTTTCTGAAACTGACATCTGAGAGTCTTGACTAACTCAGACCCTAGTTCCACGCCACCCCATGTCCATGGGCAGGAGTTAGAATAGCCACCCAGCAGACTGGACTTCACAGATCCCAACAGTGTGACTTGAGAGTTTCTCTGAGTCTCAGTTTCTTCATATGTAAAACAGTGGCTATAATAATACCCATCTCACAGTGCATAGGATTAAATAGAACCAACATAGAACTGATACATAATAAAGTACATACTTTGGAAACAGTCCCTGTGACTATTTACTTAAGAGCTTCTATTTTCAGCTCAAAACTTGCTGGTGTCCTGAAACAAACTGCTTTTCCCATCAGAACACAATGGGAGATGGAGGCCCCAGGAACTCAGGCTTTGCAGGCCAGGGATGTGAGCCCAGATCTGCTTGAGGAGTCCTTGCTGCGGAGAGCAGAGGTGACTAACTGGAGGCCAACCCGGGATCTCTGCCATGTCTGTACTGAGGCCTCGCCTCCCTTGGCCTGCTCCCAGCCAGGACCCAGCATGTGGTGAACTAGTGTGGCCCATTCCTGTGGAACAAGGGACTCCTCTACAAGTCCACAGTCAATGGAGCTTCTCTGCTGACCTGGCTACACGTTTTTAGAATGGTGCTGTGTCCAAGACTCCCTGTCCCATCGTCCTCCACTCCCCCCCAGCATGGCAGTCAACAGTCTCTCCCTGTCCACTCTTGCCCTCCTCACCCTGCTTGGATGCATCCCCAAGAAATCCCTGCTCCTCCGAATTCCATCTTGGTGCCTGCTTCTTGGAGGACCCAGACTCACACAGCCTTCAAGGTCAGACAATGTCCAAACCTCACTTCCACCACTGACTCTGGACCACTCCTGCTCATTGCTGGGTCTCAGTTTTCCCAGCTGTGAAATGAGGAAGTGGAATTGGAAAACTTTTCAAAGCCCTTCCTGTCCTGTCTGTACCAGAGTCAGCCTCACCAGGGTCCTCAAACATGCATGTCTTTTGAGGACAGTCAAGGACACAAGAGTAGCAGCCTCCATGGAGATGCTCACCTGTCCAGTCTAGCCATTGTGTCCCTCCCTGGGCTCCAACTGCCCAATGTGCCAATTATGCAGAGCTGCAACCACCTGTCTTCTCCTCGTACTCTCAAGAGGGTGCTAGAGAGGACTTGGTTTCATCCACTGCTCCATGATGCCCAGAGAATGTTCCGGGCGAATAGTGAATGCTGAACACTAGGGTTTCCAGTGAACAACGCCACCCTCCAGCCACTACCAGCCACCAGCAAGAAGTAGCTCTGTGGCCTTGGTTCCTTTGGACACGTGGAGATGATACCAGCAGCCACTACAACTGAGAGTCCCATCCAGGTACCAGGCTCCCTGCTAAGGGCTTTCCAAGCATTTTCTCTTCCATGGGTTCTCTCCATATATCTACGCAGATGTTTCATGACTACACCCCCGTTTTACAGATGAACAAACTGAGGCTCAAGGAAGTGGAATTGATTGTCTAAGGTCACACAGCTGATAAGGAGCAAGGCCTGGGTTTCTGGTTTTGCTTTGCATGTTTTAGCAGTCTGAGACATAATTTGTACAGCGTAAAAGTCACTGTAAGTGTACCATTTGGTGAATACGATGAGCAAATTTATAGATTTGGGTAACCATCACACAAGCCAGTTTTAGAACATTTCTATCACCCTGCTAAAGACCTCCCCTGCCTGTTTGCAGTCAATCCTCTGTTTGCTCCTCCCATCCCCAGCCCCAGGCAACCACCAACCTGTTTTCTGACTCTATGGATTTTCCTTCTCTAGACATTTTATCTAAATGGAATCATACAATATATGGCCTTTTGTGGCTGGCTTCTTTCACTTGGCCATAGTCATAGTTTTTGAGGCTCATACACGTTGGAACATGTATCAGTCTGTCTTCTTTTTTATTAGCAAGTCATGTTCTGTTGCATGGATAGACCGCATGTTGGATACCCACTCTTCAGCTGAATGACATCTGGGCTGTTTCCAGCTTTGAACTACTAGGAATACTGTTGTTATGAACATCTGTATCTAAGTTTTTGTGTGGGTGGGCATAAGTTTTTGTTTCTCTTGGGTAGACTCCTAGAATTGGAATTGCTGGGCCATGCAACAAGGGAATGTTAGAAGAAACCGCCATAACAGCAGGTGTGAGGGTGCCACTGCTCTCAGACTGCCAGCAAGCCCAGCCTGACTCCAGAGCCCAGACAGCAACCACTTGGGTGGTGTTTCCTCTCTAACATTAGGAACCAGCTGGGGGGGATGAAGGTCATAGTTGCGCAAAAGTGAGGGCTGGCTGTGGAGGACAGAAGCACTCTTGCACCTGCTCAGACAAGGATTTATCTTCATTGCCCCTTGGTCTCTCCAGGGATACTGAGCCCCTGGGCATCCTCCTTCCCCATATGCTAACTCCCAGATTTCTGATCCCTGGCTGTTTCCCTCCCACTGAACCCTGGGTTCTGGGTGTGAATAACAAGGAGAGATGGCTTCAGAGCATTCCCAGCCCCTGGGCAGTGACCTCGGAAGTTCAGATTCAGCTGGGACTCTATATCGAAGTACTTTTGACGTGCCTGTTCACAGAGGACTTGATGATGCAGAAACACCCAGTCCCTGATGATCTGAGCTGGAGGTGGGCGTGACAGTCATTGTATCCAGTGCCTTTCCCCAAACATTAGCCCCAAAGATTTCCTGCCCACGTAATCTCAGGCTTGAGTCCAAGCAACAAATGGGGTGCTGTAGTTGTTTAAAGCTTTGATATTGGGTGGAAGACACTTCATTGTTTGGAAAGCTCCTGCAGACCCTCTGGAAATCTCTTGAATTTGGAGGAACCCATCTTGTCTTACTCCCTCATTTGATAGAAAGAGAAAACTGAGGCCCAAAGGGGTAGAGTGACATAATCCAGGTCATTCAGCCAAGTGAGGGCAGAGCAAGGACTTGGTCCCATAACATATTGTCTCCCCCAGCATAGCGTAAGCTCAAAGAAGGTACAAACTTTCCTTTTCTTCAACTGCTACTTCCCTTATGTCTAGCACAGAGCCTAGCACAGGGTAGGTGCTCAGTAAGTATTGGGTGAGTGAGCTCAGGCCCCCTGACTTCTCTGCTTCATTTCACAAAGCTGACCTGGGCACCTACTATGTGCTGCAATCTGTGGCAGGTGTTGGGGAGAAATGTGAGCAAGACAGGACCCTTGCCTTGGAGCACTGAGATCTCAAGGGCGAGACAGAAGGCAAAACACATAAACCCAGACTGATCATATGACTGCAGTTTTGTAAAGGTTTGAAGGGGATTCAGGGCTTATGTGATGTGAATGCAGCAGGAAGTCAGGAAGGCTCCACACCAAGGCTTAAGACAAAGAGGCTGAGCTAAGGTTCCTGGCCAAGGGCATCTCCACGACCTCTACCTGGCTCCCCCATGAGGGTTTCTTGATTCGAAACTCCACAGTGGCTGGAGCTGAATTGTCAGGCCCAGCCTAGGACCAACTGTTCCACCCACTGACCATCTCTGAGAATAGATGGTGACCCCCTGAGCAGGAAGTGACCAGCTTAGGGAATAATCACTCCAAGGCCTGATATGAATCTCACTGAGGCTTCACACTAAACAGAACACAACATTAAAATAATGTTCTCGTGAGGTTTCTTGGAAAGAATCCTTATTTTCTTTTTAGAGATACACATAAAAATATTTACAGGAGAAATCATATAAGATCTGTATGTTGATTCAGAATAATATATTGGGGGAAGGTATGATTGATAACCCATTAGGGTTGGGTGATGGATACCTGAGTTCTGTCTCTGTCTCTTTATGTTAAAAATTCTTCATCATAGAAAAAGTAGAAGAAAAATAAGATTAGATGTGGACTTGGGGCAGCAAAAACCATTGTTCCTCCCCCTACCAGCAGCTGGCTCCTAAAGCTGAAATGTTTGGGCTGGGCCACACCTCTGCAGTGTGGCTTCCTTAATACTCAGTGATCTATCACAGAAACAAAGAACTGAATATCATGTGTTCATTCTTACTCATAAGTGGACCCTGAATATTTAACATAATACTATAAGAAAGGGACTGAAACTGCAGGAAATGCCGGGGGGTGGGCACATAATATCAATAAGGGTACCTGATCTCAAACCAGGTGAAGCAGGGACCAAAGAGGGGCCCAAACTTTACCTGTATGATGACCACTTGTATACTTAATCCTGATGTGTACCCCACATCTTTAAAATTAAAATAAAAGCCGGGCTTGGTGGCTCAGCCTGTAATCCTGTGCCTTTGGGAGGCTGAGGTGAGTGGATTGCC